AGCATACGCGGTACATCCATTAACGCTAACAGAACAGATACAGAGCAGATGCAGAACATGTGGGGGTTATAAATAACCAGTTCCATAAAGGAACCTCCGGATCCGAGTAACAGAAAATAAACATGCTGAGCTCCATGATGGAGCCTCCGGTGCGGGTAACAGATGGCAGACATAATAAGTTTCATAATGGAACCTCCGATACCGGGTAACAGCTAACACATATCACATGATGCTAAGGATGAAACGAATACATAGTAGAAATTGGACAATCATTCATTGTACAGAATATAGCACTTCAGAAAACAGATCTTATTTATCACACAGAAAATAAATACAGTTGAATATAACTTTACTAAGTTATTACTCACAGTTGGTAGACAGATGGAGCAGACTTAGTCAAACAGTATACGGCACGTGACCTACAGGACACATAGCAGATACACACCTGAAACACACGTTCGAATTGTACATAACTTATTTCGTTTGATCTTCGTGCGTTTCTAGCCTTTAATCCTCATTATGGAGTCTTAAACATGGCCTAGAAATGCCTAGGATGGAATGAGGATGCAAAAATGTGTTGGAAAATATTTTTCAAAATTTGCTGAAAATAAGGTCCACGCTCGAGCGTGGCTTTCCTCGCTCGAGCGGACATGCAGACAATGAATCTCTGCTCGAGCGTGACTTTCCCCACTCGAGCGGACTGTAAACTCTTGAAAAAATACTGGTTGCATGTTTTTCACGCTCGACGGACGCTCGACCTCCGCTCGAGCGTGAGACTTAGACCCTCGCTCGAGCGTGAATTACCTCGCTCGAGCAGACTGCAAAACACATGAACTTCTGGGTATATGCATTTCACGCTCAAGCGCAACCATCGACGCTCGAGCGGAAGTGCATGTACTCAGAGTGCACGCTCGAGCATGAAGTTCCTCGCTCGAGCATGGATCAAATTTGTAGAATTTCCAGATTTGATCACCAAGCTCAAATTCAACCTTAAAATGCATCAAACTCAATATTCTAGGCCCAAAACTTTGGAAAACACTTAGAAACTCATAAAACAACATGTTTAAGGATCATAACAAGAAATCATGACCCAAAAGCATGCCAATTGAGCAAAAATTCAACTTGAAACTCAAGATTAATTCATAAAGATGACTTGAATGCAATTCTTTGAACCAAAGTTCCCCAAAACATGACCAAATGCAATATTCAACTCAAAAACATGATCAAATATGACAATATGACATAGAACATGAAGAATTTCTAAAACATAGCTTGGATTAAGACATGCATGCAAGAATTCCTTAGAAAAACAATCTCAAATGCCATGAATTACATATGCATGTATGCATTGAGCTTCAATTCTCCAATCCTAGCTTAATTGACCGCCTAACTTTCTTGAGTTCAATTACTTAATGTCTCAAATACAAAGTTTAAGACTATAGTTCTTACCTAAGGTTGATTTCAAGTGTGATCCTAACCCAAAGTTTCAAATTGTCTTCAATCTCCTAGTCAATTCTTTATTTGAGCTCAACCTCCCTCTACTCTTGCTCTCTCACGTTTTTTTTTTTTCCCTTAGAATAGGCTCAAGTTCTTTGAAATCAAGGAAAGGAGATGAATGGAGTGACAAAATAGCCTTATAGGTAGTAATTTATCAAAACTAATCAAATGACATTATTTTAATCAAATTTAATCGCTCCGAACCGAATTTTAATTAAACCTACCATAAATTCTCATAAATCCTAATTAGCACATAAATCAAGTCAATTTCTGATTCGGACGCTGATAAGGCTTTTAATTCGCAAATCGAAACTAAAACATGAACAAATCTTCCTACACCTAACAGATATAAACACAACCAATGCAACACACACATGTATTTTAATTTAGAATTTCACCTTAATTACTAATTAGGCATAATTAATCATGGATTAATGTTAATCAGAGGTCGGGGCCGTTACAGTCTCCATGGATACCCACATAGTAGGTTATCCATTGACATCCCTACTCTATTGACAATTAGAGTTCTAATTCTTACTCTCTCTCATCCTCTCACTACAACAACGGCGATTTGCGATAACGACAATCTAGTGGTGACAAGATTGTGACTGTCGATCAAAAATGCGCAATTAACCATAACCAAAACATGGAAATTGAAGACAAAATTGTACAAAATTTCAATTAAGGTAATCACTAGTTAAAATGAAAATTGAAAAATTCAATCTAAGGTTACCATCAAATCAGAAAGAAATCCAATAAAAAAATTGCAAGAGATATTGAAACAAGAAAATTCATTCTATAAATGCAAATAAAAAATTTTAAAAAAAAGAAGAAGAAGAAGAAGATGGAAACGAGAGCAATAACTCACCTTCAAATTATTGAAGATCAATTAATAGAGAGGAGAAGAAGATACATAAAATTAAAAAAAAATTAAAAAAGAAGATGGAATTTTTTTTTGTAGGAATAGAATTTTTCTAAATAAATTTAAAAAATTCTAGATATACATAAATTTGACAATAATAATGTGACAATGTTAATTAATGTGTATTTGATTTTGTTGTTGAGCCAAATAAAATAAAATAAGATTGAATGTATATTTAGTTTTGGTTGTGAATCTTAAAAAAAATAATAAATAAATAAACAAAAAAATTGAATGTATATTTAGCTTTGGTTAAGATTGAATTTTTCGAAATAAATTTTTAAAATTCTAGATATACATAACATTTTTGTGAACCTTAAAAAAATAAAAAAAATAAAAAAGATTGAATGTGTATTTAGTTTTGGTTGTAAATCTTAAAAATAAAAAAATAAATAAGTAAATAAATAAAAAGGGAGTCAAGTTGGGTTGGGGAATATCTAAAACCATTAGGAGATGGGGAGGGTAGTACTCATGGGAAATGGGGAATGGAAAATGAGAAAAAATAATTATAAAGAAATGAGAATGGAGAATTAATATCTACCCCATTAACCCCTTTTACCATTCCCACAACTTTTGAGGCTTTGTGGGGACAAAATTTTCATAAACAAATCATGCTTGGTTCATAAACCCAAAATAAAAAATAATAATAAGAAGAAGAAGGATAAAAAAAAGTTGTCATTTAACAACTTTAGTAAAATTTGTAGAATACAATATGTGGGTTTATCGGGCTAAAGCTAATTATTGGATACTCAAAACTTTCAATCCAAGAATGTTAGGTTGGGAGATTTAAAAAAAAAAAAATTAAAAAATAAATAAAAAATAAATAAAATATAATTATATTTTATTCAGTATCACGTATCTTTTCTTTTTCTTTTCTAAATTACTTTTCAAATCTTCCAACAAAAGAAATCACGAAGTGCTTCATCTCTCCTGCTCCTAGCAGTGACTTGAATATGCCGTTGATTGCCTTAAGCGTGGCGTAATGGGGATTTTGTCGTTCAATGTTGGATTTGGATAGTGTTAAAATCGACGACTGCAAATTGGCTCGAAAAGAGAATTGATCCCCTCCATGTGTTTTAAAGGCCGACAATATTACGTAACTCAAATTTTGTGGCTTAAAAGTGGCTCAAATGGCCAAAACGACGTCGTTTTGAGTACAGAATAACATAAAAATAGCCAAAACGACTTTGGCCATTTGAGTCACTTTTGAGCCACAAAATTTGAGCTACGAGACATTTTCCTTTAAAGGCACAAAACATTAAAAATAAAATAAAAATCATGTAACATTTTTTACTTATTTCAAAATATTTTTTTTATTTATTTTTATTTGTTTACAACCTTTTTAGTTATTTCCAAATAACTATTTCACTCCAATCTTAGCATTGCGAGACACTTTTCACCGATTCTAAAATATTTTTATTGATTTTGAATATTTTTAAAACCTTTTTATTTATTTTCAAAGAACTATTCAATTTTTGTTTGGAGAATCTTGAATGGGTTGCTATTCCCCAATAAGTGAAAATTTGATGATCTCCTCTAAATCTATCTCTTAGTGTATTAATTTTTTTATATGAATATTTTACCTAAAAAATCTTTTATAGTGTACTAGTTTTTTTATATTAATATTCTACTTAATAAATTTTAAAAAAATAATTTTTTTATATAAATATTCTACTTGATAAGTTTTAAAAAGTAATCATCAAAATGTTTCAAAATAGGAAAAACAAATAACAATTTATATTATCAAGATCGATCCAAAATATATATATATATATATATTAAGGATAAATTATCAATAAATCTTAATAGTTGGATTTAATTTTCATCAAGTCTTATTGAAAATAAGTCTTAATAAAATCATTGCTAAAAAAAATTTTGTGATGATTTTTTACACATGTCATTAAAAATTAACAATTAATGACTTTTTTTGTCACGATTTTTATAAATTGTCACTAAAACTTATAATTAGTGATTTTTTTTTGTGACAAAATTTTCAAACTATCTCTAAAAGTTAAAAACTAATGACATTTTTTGCAACGATTTTTTTAAATTATCGTTAAAACTTATAATTAATGATTTTTTTGTAATAAAATTTTTAAACTGTCATTAATAATTAATGATATTATTTTTTAATAGTATCATTAATTATCTTAATATGTATTAAATAATAAGTTTACCGATTAAAATTTATACATAACTTTCTTGAAAATTAATATTATAAACATAATAATATCTTTATTATTTGAATAACACGTATCACATATAATTTTAAATTTAAATTTTAAAAATTTAAGAGGACACATAGCACACACGTACTAGTTGAAGATAAGAACAGAGACATTTGTGAAGAGTTGAAAGTTGAGGAGTAATTGGTAATGATCATCCAGGAAAATAAAGGCCATAGAAAATAAGGCAAAAAGCTAGCAGATAGAGCAGGGTCTATATGTCTATATGTATGTATGTAGTAGGGCCAGACCCAGGGTGACCTACCACTAACATAAACATGTGACTGAAATTTCGCAGCAACCGCCGATCATCCTTCCTACTCCGAGTCCTACCACGCGTAAAAGTACCACATACATACATACATACATACATACATACATGATGTATCTATCACCACATCACACCCCACCCACACACACGCATACCAACCCACCACTCTATAAATACGCCTTCACTCCTCTGCTACACCCTCTCCACTTTCATTTCTACCAACTCAGGAAGGACTCACAATGGGCCAGGTGAGTTCCTTCCCAGTCTCTCCATCCATTTGTGTGTGTTTCTATTTCTCTGATTTTGTTCTGTTTTTCGATGTTTTGATTGCAGAAGAAGGGAAACAACGGAGGCGAGAAGAACAACAACAACGGCGGTGAAGGAGAGAAGAAGGGCGGTGATGGTATAATCACTGTGGTTTTGAAGATGGACATGCATTGCGAGGGTTGTGCTTCTAAGATGAAGAAGTGCGTTTGCCGCTTTGAAGGTATGCATATCAGATTCCTTTTCAAGTTCCTACTCTCTTTCGTTTCTTTGATTGTTTTTGCTATTTTTTTTTTTTCATTGTTTTCTTTACATGTCGGCTTTAGATTTAGATTCATCCTCTGTTCTTTATTGCCTCTGTTTCTGCTCTTACTTCCGATTGTAAGATTCAACGGTTATTCAACAATATGCTCTGTTTCTGTACCTTGGCAATTTATTTGTTTTTGATTTGTTTCGGATTTTACTGTCAAATTATCGAAGAATATCGAGAATGAGACGTTAACACATTTATATTGAGTTGTTTTTCTGTAATTTTGTTTAGTGATATGTTTTTGATGTTTGTGATTTGAGTAAAGGTGTTGAATCCGTGAAAGGAGACTGTGTGTCTAACAAACTGACGGTGATCGGGAAAGTAGATCCGGTGAAGCTCCGAGAAATGGTTGAGCAGAAGGCGAAGAAGAAGGTCGAACTCGTCTCTCCTTTGCCGAAGAAGGACAACAAGAAAGGCGGTGGCGGTGGCGGTGGCGGTGGAGGAGGAGGAGGAGCAGGAGGAGAGCAGAAGGGCGAAGGAAAACCAGAGAAAAAGGCAGATGACAAGAAAACCAAAGACAAAGAGGTACTACTATGCTCTGCTCTGCTCTCTACTGATGTGCGCCTGTGTCGTATTACGCTTCTCTTCTTTTCCCTCTGGATTTTGCTGTTGTCTTTGGCGCTGCGCATCTGGTGCACGATAGAATGAAGGCGTAGACGTATCACATCAATCCTTCATTCATTCCCACTTCTCTATTGAAACTTGTGGAAGTTACTGTTTTTGTTTAATGGTGTGATTAGGCCAACTACTACACTGTACCACTAGGGGCGCATTTTAGCAACTCTACTGTTATTTTCGATGATTCATCAAATCGGCACTCATTCAAAACAATTTATTGAAGATTTGAATGAGGAGTTTCGTAAATTTATTTTATTACTATAATTATTTGTTCAATTAATTAATTGCATTAATCTTTTTCTGGTTTTGCAATTTATCTCAGCCTCCGGTGACCACCGCGGTGATGAAGGTGGATCTGCACTGCCAGGGATGCATCAAGAAAATCCAAAAAACCATCACGAAGACCAAAGGTGAGAATATCACGCCCGCCCTGTTTTTCCGTACAAACAGTTATGTAACAGTTTCCAGTATTTTTAACGGCGATAGTTAACGGCGTTGCAGGATATCATGAAATGTCCATTGATAATCAGAAGAATCTGATCACCGTGAAAGGGACAATGGACATGAAGGCTCTAGCAGATGCACTGAAGCAGAGGCTGAAGAAACCGGTGGAGATTGTCCCGCCCAAGAAAGAAGGAGGCGGCGATAAGAAAGAGAAAGGAGGAGGCGGCGGCGGCGGCGGCGAGGGGGAAAAGGGCAAGAAGGGTGGTGGTGGTGAGGGTGGCGGAAATGGAAATGGTGGAGGGGGGCAGGGAGAGCAAAATATAATCCAGCATGTGATGCATCAGAATCCATACATGAATGGGTACGGGTCGGGTTATCCGATAGATCCCTACCCGTACCATCATGTTCAAGCTCCGATGGGTCAGTACCCATACCAGCAAGTTCAAGCTCCGATGGGTCAGTACCCATACCAGCAAGTTCAAGCTCCGATGGATCACTACCCATACCAGCATGTTCAAGCTCCGATGGATCACTACCCATACCAGGTTGTTCAAGCTCCACAAATGTTCAGTGATGAGAACCCTAACGCGTGCTCTGTTATGTGAGGGAGGAATATGAAAAATATGATCAGTGATAGGAATTATGGAACTTAGTTTATGTCAGTCAGTATATTATTTGAAGAAAAAGGAGAAAGATGTAAATAACATCACACGGATGTTTTGTAAGTGGTTGGTGAATTGTGGGGTTCAGTTATGGTTCAGTTCTTAGTTATTGAATTTTAAAAACATGTGGGGTCTATTTTGTTTAAAACTTTTCATTTTATAATATTGCAGTTAAGTGTTTTGCATTTTTTGATCTCTTAGGCTATGTGTGATTATAAAAGATGTCTTAATAGTTAAAATTAATTCTTATTAAGTTTAATTGAAAATAAATTTTGATAAAATTATCATTAAAAATAATTTTTTTGTGATAATTTTTTACATACGTCGTTAAAAATTGATAATTAGTGATATTTTTTGTCATGATTTTTATAAATTATTGTTAAAATTTATAATTAATGATTTTTTTATGTCAAATTTTTTCTATAGAATTTATTAGGTAATAGGTCTACTTATTAGAACCTACACATAAATATCCTTAAAGGTTTGGGTTGGTTTGAGATTATTTTAGTTATTAAAAGATAAAAATAGGTTTTTTAATTAAATAAGATAAAATATTATATTAAAATTATATATATATTTTTTTTTATAAAAGTCAAAAAATTTATTCTAAACAAAATTTTTTAATGTCATATTAAAATAATTAAAAAATTAAAAAATCAATTCACATTTCAAACGATAACTTAATTTGCTTACATTATTTTTATTTTTTAACTACAAATGCACATAACTCTTAATTATTTAGTATCAAAATTGATGTTCACTCTTTGCCACTTGCATAGACCTAAAACAAAAACAAGTGCTTTGTGCACTCTGATGTTTCCTAAAACCCACCAGGACTGAATCCCACTAATTTTAGTAATGAAAGTCCCAATCAAATGTCTCTTTGTCGATGCACCATGATGTGAAAGATTTAGGGCATTAATATATTATTCAATAATATTACATTTATTGAATTTTAACTTATTTAAATTATTTAAATTTACGAATATTAATAGTCTCATTAGTTAGTTATTTGAGAAGATGTCAATTATTTGAGAGATGTCGATTGATACATCGGATGATAAGAATGATCGTTATGATTGATAAGAATAACATTAATGATCCGGCCACGTCATTTGAGCGAAATCAAATTACCAAACTATGTTATTCAAGCGAAATCAAATTACGAGCGAAATTATATTACCGAACTATGTTATTCAAGCCAAATCAGCTTTACTTCTATTCTGGTGCACCGAGCATTTTTATAGTATTTTTCCTGGAGCTTAAAATTCCTCCCAAATCATTGCTTAAAACTTTTGACCAAATGTTTGTGCCGTAGGGTATATTGGATTTTCTAATACTGACAACGCACCTCATATGATGGTGGGAGGCACAGCTCATTTGGCTCTATTTCGAGTTCGTTTCATTGTTTCATTTTTAAGATATATTAAATAAAATATATTTATATAAAAAAAATTAATCAGATGATAAATTTTTTTTACCAAATCATATATGATTAGAATTGGGATTCACTGAATTTGGCGTGCATAGATAAAAAAATATAAATATAAATAAGGAGAGAAACGAGTAGTTCATTTTCTAAAAATAAAATAATTATTGGGCAAAAATAATTTAGTTATTTTTCAAGTTATTACCATGTAAAACTTCCAGCCTGGTTTGGCATTAAGTTAATATAGTCAAAAAAAAATTAAAAAATTATTAAATGTTATCATATCATTTTCTTTTTTATTTCTGCATATTTTTTTTGTAAAAAATCAAATATGACCTACATTTTGATTTTTTAATTTTTTATGAAAATATGTATAGAAAAACAATGAAATGTAGATGTACATTTTATGATGAATAGTTTAGAAAAGTCACATTAATATTTTTTTTTATATTAAAAAGAAGTCAAAAATATTTTAAATTTTAAATAACCGTTATAATTATAAACTATTACTTTTAAATTTTAATAATGTGTTTCAATTTCATGGGAAGTAATGAAAATATCCATTTATAACATGTCATAAGAGAATTTGAATCTTAAAAATTCAGTTAATATCACATATAAGTGGGTGGGCTAGAGAGCTTTAGGTTCAGTATGTTTTGAATTATTATTATTTTATTTTTTTTAAATAAACTTAATTTAAGAAAAATAAATACCAAAAATATTCTTAAAATTTTAAAAATCATTCCAGCCCCAAAATAGGCGATGTTTTCCTAGATTATATTTTCCATAAAATCATTATAAAAAAGAAAAAAGAAGAAGAAATATTTATTTTTTAATCAAATTAAATTTTAATTTTCACAAAAATATTTTAAAAACTAAATTCTAATGTGAAACCAAATCTATATATATATATATATATATTAAGGAAAGTGAGTAGTCTTATAAGAGTTTCAATATCTCATACTAATTTTTTTAATTTAAAATAATTAAGAAAATTTTTATTGATTAGCTTCTATTTAACCATACTAGCGGGTGCTACATGCGATGCGTGTGCAATTCAGATAACTAATAATAAAAACTAATAATTAAAAATTTAATATCATAATACGTATATTATTTAAGTGATAAATATGTTCTTAATAAAATCCAAGATCTTGGTTTCAAAACTTGCTTACGCTGTGTATAATAATTTTTTTATTTTAGCATATATAAAGTTGTCGCATGGCAAGAGGAGAAGAAGGTTTTACTAAACCAATTTAGACCTTCACTTATTAATATAATAGTATACTAGCGGGAGACACGCGCGATGTGTGTACAATTTAGATAACTAATAATAAAAATAAATAATACGTTGTGTATAATAATTTTTTTATTTTAGCATATACAAAATTGTCACGTAGCATAAGGAGAAGAAGGTTTCACTAAACCAATTTAGACATTCACTTAATAACAATATAGAATAATATACATCGAGAAAAGAAAAGAAGAGTATTGTTACCTTTTATTTTACAATTCCATATCGAGAAAAGAAGAAAAAAGTGAGTTGTTTCACTTATTTAAAATGAACTTTATGTTCTTATTTAATATTGTAATGTTGTGCATGATTCAGTTCAAGAAAGTTTAAATTTTAAAATAGAAAATTTGTGATAAATCCAATCTAAGAAGAGTATAAGGTATTAGATCCATAATAAGAGGTCCACACTTTGTAAAATAATTTAGTAAGAAGTCCTAAAGGACATTTTGTTTTCAATTTTGTTTGACTTTTCATTGATTATTTGTTAAAATTTATATCTATTTGTTCAATTTTTTTTATATGTTCAAATATTTTATCTATTTGTTCAATTTTTTTCCCTAAATTCTATCTATCTGTTCAATTTTTTCCTAAGCTCTATATATCTGTTTAATTTATTTTCTAAATTCTATCCATCTCTTTAATTATTCTTATCTGTTAAAATAATAATTTCTTATTTGTTACTCAAATTTGGAAGTCCATTTTTTCTATCTGTTTGAAATTCACAAACTAATTTTTCTATCTGTTGGAATTATCTACCACCAACACTAAAATATTACACAAAAATTCATCATTTTTCTCTCTTTGAATTTGTATATATTTATCATCATCAACAACAACCAAAAAAAAATTAAAATAAATAAATAGATTTTGTTGAAATTTGTTGGAGATACATCTACACCATATCTTCCAACAGTAAAATATTACACAAAAATTCATCTATTCTCTCTCTCTCTTTCTCTCTCTCTCTCTCTCTATGAATTTTTATTTGTTCATTATCATCAACAACAACATCAAAAAATAAAAAATAAAAAATAAAAACTAAAAAAACAAATTTTGTTGAAATTTGTTGGAGATGCATCTCTACTAAATCTTCTAACACTAAAATATTACACAATAATTCATTTTTTTTTTCTCTCTCTCTCTCTATGAATTTTTATATGTTCATCATCATCATCAACAACAACATCAAAACAATAAAAAACAAATAAATAGATTTTGTTGAAATCTATTGGAGATATATCTCTACTAGATCTTTCAACATCTTTAAATTGATTGTGGATGATACACAAAGAGAAACTTCACAAAAATTCACGAAGAAATTTCCTTCGCCGCAACTAGAGCTTATCGTTGGTCGTTGGCTACGATCTCAGGTCTCAAATCATGAGACTCGGATCTGGAGCAAAACAGCTTCAGGAAACTCTAACGGGTTGAAGAACAAACTAGAGGATGAAGAAAGAGATGAGAGATAGCATCGGAGATTAGAGAGAGACAAGAGTGTGGTTTGTTTTGGTTTATAGGCTTCCGACGCTAGTTCATTGGTGAGGCGGCAACATCGGCACCACTGTCACGACCTAAACCCGCCCTGATAGGTTTAGCGTCATAACCGGCTAGTAATCCAAGATTACCAATGGTCTGCTTCACACTGAACAGTAATAGGGGCTGGTGGAAGCCAATATTAAAATAAATTGTCTAATGAGCTATGGGACTTACATGGAACAAAACAAATTTATATACAATAGACAGACATTTACATAAGCCATCTCATACATAAGTACAAACACATTCACCTAACCTAGGGAACTAATTCCCATTAGCAAAATTAAAAAAAACAAAAGATCTTAAACCAAAACTATTACACTTAATCACAATATCAAAAGAGAGAATTCTACACCACTCAAAAGCCTTAGAGCTTGACCAATACGAATCTCGAAATGAGGCACAGCGGTTAGTTTCACAAAACAGTGGGTAGGTCAACGCCATTAGGTTCGGTCTTGCACTTGATCACCTACATACATATATAAACAACGAGTTAGAGCTTAGTGAATAATCTCAACGTAAAGAGGTGTAGACACCCCATTTTTGACCGCTCTTAAGACTTGGACGCGACTGATGATTTACTTGATGGAGAAAGGTGTGCAGGGCAAAGGTTCAGTTTCTTCGGCAAGGAGAGAGTCAAATCTCAACTTCATACCCCTTTCTTGGACCGAAAAAATCTTGATCAAAAGATTTTAGACTTGAAACCCTCTCTTTCAAAACATTTTGAAAATAAAGTTCCTACGATCTTCCGAGGCTCGCATTTTGTCGAATGTTGCGCTTTTCGGTAAACCGAGCAAGGACAAAGTGGAAATAAATGAAAGAGAGATTAAATCTTTGAAAAATATTTCAAAACACCTTGTCTAGGGGTTTGGAGTTGAAGAAAAGAGGAGAAAAGAGAGGAAAACTAGTTTGGGAGAAGTTCGGCA